ATCACTCATCGCTCAAATATTTCCGTTGTAAACCCGTGATGAAATTGTCCCACTGATTTGACGCAAGAAATATCCTCGTAATTAGGAACTGATGACGCAGATAACGTTTGTTTGAGCTATGAGATAGAATGATATCAAGATATTCTTTTCAGTGTAGTGTTATGATGTGTACGGGTATGGTGTGAGTGTGATTGTGACATTAGCAGTCTGATTGTGTCATATTTCAGCAAGCATTACGTGAGAGTATGCGGGATGTACCAGCCGGCTCCGAACTGACTGAACAAGAGGAAGAAATGGATCGTCAGTTGCAACGTGCCCTGCAAATGAGTCTCGAGCAGAATCTACCGGATCCGTGCACGGTGGCCGGTGGCTCGGGACTATCCGGTAACACGACCAAACAACTGATTAGTAGATTTGAGAAATCTGGAGAGGTTGAGCAGTGTTCTGATCCTAAAGTATCGCTAAGTGTTAAAGAGTCGTCTTGTGAAGCCACTAGCAGTAGTTGTTTCAGTGGAACTAAGATTGTAGGCGGATGCATTAAGAATCCGAAAGGTTTAGTTGACGCCGATGAATCAATGGATGTAAAAGATGAAGTGGGTCCGGATGGTGCACCGAAACCTACGGATTCTGAAGAAAGTGCATTCAGAAGTGCAGATTCATCGGAGGTGCGTAAACAACGTGAACAATTTTTGAAGCGTTTCGATAAGTAGTAGGTGATCGACGGACACAGAAGAAGTAATGATTATTCATGGCGGAATTAAAACGAAATTCCTTCATTCTTTAACAAAATTATGAATGACAATTTTGAGGGAATTCTGTCATCTGATTTAGCAAAAATTTTGTGCAGATTTGAATCAAAATTGTTGAGGAAATTTTATTGATTCATAGATTAATGGATGTGGGAATTTCGGTTAAAGGTGAATGATTAAGAGAAGGCAAATTTTGAATGCGGATGAGTGAATAGCTGCACGTGAATAAATCATATTTGTCACAGTTCTCACTGTTCGATATGTTCGATATTGACTTATTTATGTGTCTTCGTGCAGCATCTGATAGAGTGCAGAATTTCGGATTGCTTATGAGATTCTGAGACGAGTGCTTCCCCAAATATGCTCTGATCATCAGTTTTTAATCTAAACATTCATATATATTGCTTCTTCCTCATCGTAGAATATTAACATGCATAATATGGTTATGCTCATTTATGAAATTGTTTTGTTTTGTTTGTGTACAATAAGTAATATGCATTGCTTTCTGAAATAAATGACTGAATTATTTTTTGAATTGTTATTTTCAACTTTCGGAATGTTTCATTTCGCGTTGGTCTGCTACACAACAGTTTTTGTGTGTAAAACCATTGCCTGCGTGTGAAGCAAAGGCATTATACTTATGGCATGTGTTGTGATGATCTTTCTTTTATCAATAGTATTCCGATAGAAAATTGTTGAGAAAGTCATTTGTTGCTGCTAATTTGTTATGCAATTGAGTTATTTTGAATGTGTGATATTTTCATCTGAATTAATCTGGATTATTGCTGATTAGGAGAAGAAGTTGAGTGGAGTGTGTCGATTGTGTGATTGAGCCGAAATGACTGTATAGGAATATTCGGTTATATGTCAGTCAGCTGGCGGGCGTATTATGGCAACACTCTCTGAATTGATCACAGCAAGCGACGATACACCTCCGTCATCACAACTTGGCCAAGCAGCGATCCCTCATCATCATACCGGTTTGTTGAAATCGACTTTTATTCATCACCATTCTTTCTTGATTCTCATGTAGTAAGTATCTAGCCGTGTAGGACTGATTGATTCCTTAAAAGATATTTGAAATCCATATATCTCTTTTAACTGATTTGATCAGAACTTACACTCTTAATCAACTCGATATGTTTGCCATATGTCGAAAAATTGGGGCGAATATGTAAGAGTGACGAAGTTTCAAAGTATGTTTGAATTGATTTTACGGACCGTCATGATCAGTTGTTTATCAACGAATTTGACCACGTAGAGTCGGAATGAACTAAGCGTGTATGGAAGTGATTTCGAAATTGAGTCATTTAAACTCATCCAATTGTTTTTAGGTGTCAGTATGCAACAACCCGGTGGAATGCTATCAGCTTCACAACAACAACAACAGCAGCAGCAGCAACAATCGTCATCATCGAATTTGATGCGAATGCAACCAGATGAGACCGCGACTGGTAGTCCTAACGTGGATCGAATGCCTCAGCTGAAGCAATTGATGCTGAGTGCAGACGAAGATATTACTAGACCGTCACAAACATTCCCAGCGCCAATTGTACGT